TATCCACACAGTCAGTGATACTACCATGTCAATATATCCACACAGTTTATCATACTACCTTGTCAATATACCTACACAGTCAATCATACTACCCTGTAAATATACCTACACAGTCAGTGATTCTACCCTGTCAATATACTCACACAGTCAGTGATTCTACCCTGGAAATATACCCACACAATCAGTGATACTACCCTGTCAACATACCCACACCGTCAGTGACACTACTCTTTCAATATATCCGCACAGTCAGTGATAATACCATGTCAATATATCCACAGGGTCAGTGATACTACCCTGTCAATATACCTACAGTCCACACAGTCAGTACCCTGTCAACATATACTACTACCCTGTCAATATACCCACACAGTCAGTGACATTACCCACAGGGTCAGTGATACCTGTATCCATCAATATATACCCACTATCCATATATCCACACAGTCAGTGATTCTACCCTGTCAATATACCCACACAGTCAGTGACATTCAGTGATACTATCCCGTCAATGTAGCCATACATTCAGTCATACTTCCCTGTGAATATACCCACACAGTCAGTGATACCACCCTGGCAATATACCCACTCAGTCAGTGATAATACCCTGGCAATATACCAACACAGTCAGTGATACTAGCCTGTCAATATATCCACACAGTCAGTGATACTACCCTGTCAATATACCCACACAGTCAGTGATACTACCCTGTAAACATACCTACACAGTCAATGATTCTACCCTGTCAATATACTCACACAGTCAGTGATACTACCCAGGCAATATACCTACACAGTCAGTGATACTACCCTGGCCATATATCCATACAGTCAGTGATACTAGCCTGTCAATATACCAACACAGTCTATCATACTACCTTGTCAGTATACCTACATAGTCACTGATACTACCCTGTAAATATACCCACAGTCAGTGATACTACCCTGTGAATAGACCCACACCGTCAGTGACACTACCCTGTCAATATATGCCCACGCAGTCAGTGATAATATCCCGTCAATGTACCCACACAGTCAGTGACATTACACTATCCATATACCCACACAGTCAGTGATTCTACCATGTCAATATACCTACACAGTCAGTGATACTACCCTGTAAATATACCCACAGTCAGTGATACTACCCTGTGAATAGACCCACACCGTCAGTGACACTACCCTGTCAATATACCAACACAGTCAGTGATAATATCCCGTCAATGTACCCACACAGTCAGTGACATTACACTATCCATATACCCACACAGTCAGTGATTCTACCATGTCAATATACCTACACAGTCAGTGATACTATCCCAACAATATACCCATACAGTCAGTGATACTACCCTGTGAATATACCCACACAATCAGTGATACTACCCCCGCAATATACCAACACAGTCAGTGATAGTACCTTGGCAATATATCCACACAGTCGGTGATACTAGCCTGTCAATATACCCACACAGTCAGTGATACTACCCTGTAAATATACCCACAGAGTCAGTGATACTACCCTGTCAATAGACCCACACAGTCAGTGATACTACTCTGTCCATATACCCACACAGTCAGTGATATGGCCCTATCCATATACCCACACAGTCAGTGATTCTACCCTGTCAATATACCCACACAGTCAGTGATACTATCCTGTCAATGTAGCCATACATTCAGTCAAACTACCCTTTAAATATACCCACACAGTCAGTGATACTACCCTGACAATATACTCCACACAGTCAGTGATACTACTCTGGCAATATACCCACACAGTCAGTGATACTACCCGGTCAACATACTCACACAGTGTCAATATACCCACACAGTCAGTGATACTACCCTGTAAATATACACAGTCAGTGATACTACCTTGTCAATATACCCACACAGTCAGTGATACTACCCTGTAAATATAACCCACAGTCAGTGATACTACCCTGTGAATAGACCCACACCGTCAGTGACACTACCCTGTCAATATACCCACACAGTCAGTGATAATATCCCGTCAATGTACCCACACAGTCAGTGACATTACACTATCCATATACCCACACAGTCAGTGATTCTACCCTGTCAATATACCCACACAGTCAGTGATACTATCTCGTCAATATACCCATACTACAGTCAGTGATACTACCCTGTGAATATACCCACACAGTCAGTGATACTACCCTGTCAATATACCCACACAGTCAGTGATAGTACCCTGTCAATATACCCACACAGTCAGTGATACTACCCTGTCAATATACCCACACAGTCAGTGATACTACCCTGTCAATATACCCCACAGTCAGTGTGATACTACTGTCCATATACCCACACAGTCAGTGATATGGCCCTATCCATATACCCACACAGTCAGTGATTCTACCCTGTCAATATACCCACACAGTCAGTGATACTATCCTCCCCTAGCCACACATTCAGTGATACTACTCTGGCAATATACCCACACAGTCAGTGATACTACCCTGTCAATAGCCCACACAGTCATGATACTACTCTGGCAATATACCTACACAGTCTGTGATACTACCCTGTCAATATAGCTACACAGTCACTGATACTACCCGGTCAACATACTCACACAGTGAGTGACTCTACCCTCTCTATATACCCACACAGTCAGTGATACTACCCTGTAAATATACCCACACAGACAGTGATACTACCTTGTCAATATACCCACACAGTCACTGATACTACCCTGTAAATATACCCACAGTCAGTGATACTACCCTGTGAATAGACCCACACCGTCAGTGACACTACCCTGTCAATATACCCACGCAGTCAGTGATAATATCCCGTCAATGTAGCCACACAGTCATTGACATTACACTATCCATATACCCACACAGTCAGTGATTCTACCCTGTCAATATACCCACACAGTCAGTGATACTATCTCGTCAATGTACCCATACAGTCAGTGATACTACCCTGTGAATGTACCCACACAGTCAGTGATACTACCCCCGCAATATACCAACACAGTCAGTGATAGTACCTTGGCAATATATCCACACAGTCGGTGATACTAGCCTGTCAATATACCCACACAGTCAGTGATACTACCCTGTAAATATACCCACAGAGTCAGTGATACTACCCTGTCAATAGACCCACACAGTCAGTGATACTACTCTGTCCATATACCCACACAGTCAGTGATATGGCCCTATCCATATACCCACACAGTCAGTGATTCTACCCTGTCAATATACCCACACAGTCAGTGATACTATCCTGTCAATGTAGCCATACATTCAGTCAAACTACCCTTTGAATATACCCACACAGTCAGTGATACCACCCTGACAATATACCTACACAGTCAGTGATACTACTCTGGCAATATACCTACACAGTCTGTGATACTACCCTGTCAATATAGCTACACAGTCACTGATACTACCCGGTCAACATACTCACACAGTGAGTGACTCTACCCTCTCTATATACCCACACAGTCAGTGATACTACCCTGTAAATATACCCACACAGACAGTGATACTACCTTGTCAATATACCCACACAGTCACTGATACTACCCTGTAAATATACCCACAGTCAGTGATACTACCCTGTGAATAGACCCACACCGTCAGTGACACTACCCTGTCAATATACCCACGCAGTCAGTGATAATATCCCGTCAATGTAGCCACACAGTCATTGACATTACACTATCCATATACCCACACAGTCAGTGATTCTACCCTGTCAATATACCCACACAGTCAGTGATACTATCTCGTCAATGTACCCATACAGTCAGTGATACTACCCTGTGAATGTACCCACATAGTCAGTGATACTACCCCCGCAATATACCAACACAGTCAGTGATAGTACCTTGGCAATATATCCACACAGTCGGTGCTACTAGCCTGTCAATATACCCACACAGTCAGTGATACTACCCTGTCAATATATCCGCACAGTCCGTGATACTACCTTGTCAATATTCCTACACAGTCTATCATACTCCCTTGTTAACATACCTACATAGTCAGTGATACTACCCTGTCAAAGACCTACACAGTCAGTGATACTACCCTGTAAATATACCCACAGAGTCAGTGATACTACCTTGTCAAAAGACCCACACAGTCAGTGATACTACCCTGTCAATATACCCACACAGTCAGTGACATTGCCCTATCCATATACCCACACAGTCAGTGATACTATCCCGTCAATGTAGCCATACATTCAGTCATACTACCCTGTCAATATACCCACACAGTCAGTGATACCACCCTGGCAATATACCCACACAGTTAGTGATACTACCCTGGCAATATACCCACAGAGTCAGCGATACTACCTTGTCAATATACCAACACGGTCTATCATACTACCTTGTCAATATACCAACACAGTCAGCGATACTGCCTTGTCAATATACCTACACAGCCTTTCATACTACCGCGTCAATATACCTACACAGTCAGTGACACTACCCTTTCAATATACCTACACAGTCCGTGATACTACCCTGTCAATATACCTACACAGTCACCGATACTACCTTGTCAACATACTCACACAGTGAGTGATTCTACCCTCTCAATATACCCACACAGTCAGTGACACTAGTCTTTCAATATACCCACACAGTCAGTGATACTAACCTGTCAAGGACCTACACAGTCAGTGATACTACCCTGTAAATAAACCCACACAGTCAGTGATACTACCCTGTGAATAGACCCTCACCGTCAGTGACACTACCCTGTCAATATATCCACACAGTCAGTTTCAGTATACTAGTACCTACAAAGTCAGTTATGCTATCCTGTTGTTTCTTCCCCCTTTTTATGTGCTACCATCTCCGCTGTAACCATTTCTCCCTAAAGGGTTTCAGTGATTCATATTCAATGTCATGTTTGTAACATTTTTTCAATGTTACCCGACGTGCAAAGCAGCCAGATCTATAACAAGGCAGATAATATTAACTCAGTCGTCAGGCGATGGTCATGTGCACGTGTTGAAAGATAAAATCAACACTACCGCAGTGATATAGTTTTGTTAGACCTGTCCTTGCACAATATTGGAGTGCTGGAGGCCAAACAGCAGTGTTCGTTTTGCGTCTCGGGGCATCTTCACCACTCAAAGAATGGCTTTTTCCTTGGACCTGGAAAGACACAACAGGTGCGATGGTATTTTCGTTATTTTCCTACAAATATTACATTGTGGATGTGGAACAGGTTTTGTAGTTTCTATTTGCTTCACATGTGACACAGTTACATACTCAAACGAATTCAAGCGGGTCGAAAGAGGCAGCGACGTTTGATTTTGAATTTGAATTTGGTTCTTAATTTAGTCTCAATGGCGTTGATTTTTGCAGAATCTTGTTTGTCCGGCCATTATAGCTAGACTACGGTGTTAAACTCTCAAACCCAGTCAATAAACTACTTTGCATCTCTTCTCCGTATATTCTTTTTGGACACATTTTCTGACAAGGACTTTTTTTCATCAGACTTTGCTTCTTCTTTGGGATATCAGTTGTGATTCGAGTGGTGATTACTAATATGATTCACAATTTTCTGCAAAACACGCACACACACACACACACACGCACGCACGCACGCACGCACGCACGCACAAAAACAAAGTATAACCGAAACAACAAAGCAGGTATTCCAATTGATTGCAAATATATCGTACATTTCCCCTATTTAAGATTTGGTTTTAACTATGGGTTTACATTGGTTGGAAGGGATGTTCTATATGGGTACAGTTTTTTAGAAACCAGTTCATGGCTCGAGACTCTGGATGCTCTCTTTGTCCCTTAATATAATCTCTTTACTCTTTACCTTCTAAGCACACGCACGCGCTACCGCACCCGCACACAGCCCCGCACACACTGACACACAGACGCAGAAACACAAAGACACACACACACACAAAGATCAATACTAAATGAAAGCAACCATTCCACTTTCAGCGATTGTGTCCCAGAAAAGAATCTTCTAATTAGCTATTACCACGGTGCCTGTAAGGAGCCTCTTTGTGGACTGACCATCCCGCAACTTGTGGAGGCTGCAGCAAGTGGATGCCCCACCCGAATACTATACCGGGTACTTGAGTACAACCAGACAATCACCGCCAAGCAGTTACTGGAACAGGTAGGAGTTTTCATGCTGCGAAATTCTAAATAAAGGGGTATACGAAATACATTGCTATAACCATGATGGGAATAAAGGTGTTGAACAACATACGCAGGATACTATAGATCTACGTTTCAAACCAGCTAGCACTTACAAAACTCGAGCATGTATGCTTTACACACCTGTGTGTTAGAACCCCATTTGAGATACATAACACACGTGTGACATCGAATTCCATGTGGAGGTTTGACCACTCCATGGTGACGATTCTGTATAGATCCTTACACTGTTAGTAGGTTATACGTTGTATGGTTAAGTCATATTACCCTACGTTTGTGTCGAAACTTTATTTTTCAGATTTTTTAATAGATAATCATTGACCTTAATTAGTTTACACTATCATCGACTCATACAGCTGAAGTATTTTATCATGGGTCACACGAGACATAAAGAAATATCCACTAAATCGGTCGCCGTCACTCGTGATGGTACAGTTATATGCACATGCATCCATTAGATGTTAAGATACAGAGGATTGTGCCCGCACCTGTCATACAACTCAGTGTAAGATAAACAGTCCTTGACATACACGCCTGCAGTAATCTCTGTATCAGTAACGGCACAGTTTATATTGCTTTTGAAAGTATTGCACTGACCGTAAACAAGAATGTATGAAATTACTTGTATTGTTTGGACTTACAGTAAACACAAAATGAGAATAATAGTTTTTACGTGTAACTTTACAAGTTGAAACAGTACATCTATAAACACAAACATTTGTGTGAAAACATAAACATATCAATACAAATTACTCCAAACGAATTGCAAATGCGGTACGAAATATGGTGGTAGTTTAAATTCAATCGTGGTACAAATACGACGACAATATAATATAATGGTAGTTATTAAAGCCATAAGGACAGTCATGTGAATATTCAACAAAATAAGGTCCGTAAGTAGGTCACGGCCCTTTGCGAGACTTTAGTACTTCCAGTGACAAACAATAATTTACGGCAATGGCGATGGCACTGTTACAAGGCTCCTGTCCTGGCTAAGCAACCTCGCCTGTCTGACTCAGAAATTTATATCATACAACTGGCTACAAAAACACTTGGGCTATTTTGCATGAATAGCACGTGTATATCTGTCAACAGCTGTCTAGCCAAGCCTGGTAGAAGACTTGGTCCAATCAGGTGAAGTCATATTTTGCGGTCGCGCTAATAAGAAGCAGACCTGGTTCTTGAATACATGCATGTCACCGGAAATCTATTACCGGAAGTAGCGCCTAGCGAGACTTACGGGCCCTACAGACATAGACTGAGAATCCGGGGTTGAAAGCGATCTTCACAAAATGCTGGTCTGGATGTAATGTGAGATGTGTTTCTTCGGGAACATTAAGTATCTTGCCAGGATGGACCACGCTGGGTTATTCCGGGTGCTCACAGTCTCAAAATAGTACATTATTTCCCTCTGTTGAATCTCGACGGACACAATCAGGCCTAGGAAAATAATCTTCCAAAACTGCAACAATATCCTCTAAAACCGAAGCAAACGCATCTGTAATGGAAAACTAATCGTTTGAAATGGAAACAAAACTCGCTCATCAGCTACAAGAGCGGGCGAATAGCATCTCGAAACAGCATAAATATCGTCAAAGATGGCGGTGCAGGAGACGAACAGGCTTTGGTAAGTAATGTTTTTCGTCACTATCCAATCTTGAAAATTTGATATCGGGATGCTGCGCACCAACCCCTATTGTAGTAAGCTTCAAACCTATATTCATACTTCTCAGTGTCAGACTTGCGATTCTGCACAATATGGTCCATCGTTCCCCGAAGAAGGTTCCCCGATGTCGTGCTACTGTTTCTCATCAGTTTTGTAAATAAAGTATTCATAGAGTCACATATTACTGCAGTTTTGGAAGATTATTTTCCTCTTTTTGTTCTGTTTTGGTGTATATGAGTTCAGGTTTGAGGATTTGTTCACCGTTTGTATGGTAGGTCTAATGTGACTTCATACAATTACAACTCTATGATATATTGAATAACACTATCACATTATATTGTGTTGATAATCCTGATTATGAAACATGGTATTGATAATAACATTTCCAAATGTCTTGTCTTGATATTATTTCATTTCGCTACAGTGTCTGTATACGATCATTTTCACCTGCATTAAATTAGTTTCATTTCTATAATGCATTTCATTATTGTATCCTCTTTTGAAGGCAAACTCATTCTCTAAAGGCTTGATATCACAAGGTGTTCTGAAGGGCGACGTGGTGTTTTGTGTCGGGTTAGATACTATCGACTTCTACCCCATTATGCATGCAGTGTTCGCTATAGGAGCAGTGTTTTTCAACGTAAGTATGTTACTCGTAGCACGTTATGGCGCGCTGTCATCCACCCCCCGTGCTCGGAGTCGGGGTGTGTGTGGGTGTGGGGGGAGGGTTGTGGGCACACGAACAATGAAGCTAACGTACACCCTATGCTGCCTTTGTAAATATAAAAAAAAGTCTTTGAAGAGGCCATTGGCTGTGAATATTGATTTAGTTATTCCATAGTGTATTTATATAAGAAAAGTAAATTACAACCTTTCAACAGCACTCTCGTTTAAGTATCTGTAATGATCTACTAGATGACGTAATTGTGATTCATATGATCAACTGTGGAACGTGTGATCATCCTGTTTGCTTTTCAGGACGTTCTGTGTGCCCCGAAGGCGGTAGACCTGGCTCGGCTGATTGACATTGTAAGTACAATGACAGAGAACATCGCATTATCTTCCGCCAAAAGATGTTAAGAATGTATGGCTCCATATTTTGCCTCGAAGTCTCTCAGTATTCTCTTTATGGAGATATTCGATATTAGCTTGGCACTAGAATGGCATATTTTAAACTGCTTACAGTAACTCAGCAAATGAGTCAAATCGTTGAATATAATGTCCGGTTGTACATATTAAAGGTGCAGTGCAATGCTATTTTGATGGCGAACATAAAACAATGTGTCTGTGTAATTCTCCTCGACAGGTAAAACCCAAACTGCTCATCTGTGGAGAGAAGGAGATCTCGACTGTTGAGGAAGTTATTGGGAACAGTCCTGAAAGGTGTGTCTAACCAGTTAATTCCAATCGTAAAGTTGGTGAAAAGTGCAAATGTATATCATTCCTGTTTCCTTTCAGCTAGATTCATGACAGGCACAAATGTGGTCGGTTCTTTAGGGTAAGCTGTTTCTCTGTCAAGTTTTGCGTCCCTTGGGCGTATCAGGATCCTATAATCCGCGACTGAAAATCAAGATTCGCTCTGATTGTCGACCTTTATCATGTCAGCAGAATACCTATCCATGTTTAACATTCCACAGTAAAGCCTACAGTCACACATACGCAGTCTCTTACCATCCCTGAGCACCTCAGACAGAGCTGCCTCTAGACATTACTCTTCTTGTGTTTATTTATTTGTTGTTGTTAAACGCCACACTCAACTCAGCAACATTACAGCTTTATGCCTGTGGACTGTAAATGTTCCAGTCTGGAGCAGACAATTAAGCGATCAACTAATCTTCTTCTGACATAATGGTGCGTTGTTAATGAAACAGGAGGTATTCTCTGTGATTAAGTTCTTGTATGTTTAATACCAATTGAGTAATATGTGGAATTATTAGTTCCCATCAGCTTGTTATTCTCAGCAAAAACCGCCAACAGTGTACTAAATGAATTGAGATGCAGTTTGACATCAATTAACTGGTATCTTTTAAATCTTTCAGAAACTGGGATTGTTTCTGCGTTTCATTCAGTACGAATTCGTAAGTGCCAACAACATCATTATACATAATATTCCCTGTGTCCAAAAGTAATTGCGAACTGTTTGTTATACCGTTTAGTAATGTATTGGTTGATTGATTTTTGTCTTGAGTTTAGCTAATTTCTTTTGTTGATACCTTATCCTGGTTTTGACGGATGTATACACCGTTCCCATTCTGAACATTATTGTCCGTTTATTGTTACTTTTCAACAATATGCCTCTGTCTACAAACATATATAATTCATGTAATCTGAATATGAAGGATTGAAATCAATCTTCGAAACATCTGTTCCCGTGCTTAGTTGTTGAAGCCAAATATTTGGGATAATCTTTGAACCACCGTCAAACATTTATGCTACCTGGTGTTTGCGAACAACTGAACGAATGTAGATAGGTGCTACGAAGTTTATAGGATTGTTCTATTGCTTCGATATCGCTACCCTAAATCTCAACAAATGTATTACTCTAATCAATTGACGGTATTGTGCATATTTCTTATATTAGCACCCATGTTTGTAGAGCGGCAAATGTCTGTAGCCATAAGGAGCTATTAAAGAACGGAGAGACTGTGCCAGATGAACAACTACAATCATCCAAACGTCATATTTCCCTCGACGACAATGCGTGGATAGTGGCCTCATCTGTATGTATTTCATTTAATCATACCTTCAATTCATGGCTTCATAATATCAAGTGCACTGTTGTTTTTTACATGTGTTCATTCACTCTCCTACCCAGAGTTCCATGCGGCAAGCCAGCATAGTACCTCTGCCACAGGCCAGAAAAATGTGACGATTCGTCACATCTTGCAATGTCCATTCAATATAATGTACAGATTTCTTTTACTCTTTTATTTTTGACGAGTCTACACATCTAACTAAACATCTTAAATAGAATGGTTTAGTTTCACTGAGAAAATATCCAAAAACATGTAACACTATTTCGATTTGCGTAGCGATTCTTTGTTTACATAGGTTGTACGGCTCCACGTGCAGTCATCGAAGCCGACAGAGAGCAAACGATGCAGCCAGTTTGATATCTAAATATGTACTGTCATAGATAAACATACATTATATCTGCAACAGTCTGCCCATATCCTATCTTGCTCGGGATGTGTTAATACTAGATCGCTGTCCAGAGATCTGATTCTGTTCCTCCTTTCTATTCACTCATTGAAGCGATGTCAATTTCTCCTCAACCATTACAAATTATATACATACATTTATGTGTTAAAGGGAACGACAGGACAACCGAAACTCATGTATGTGGGACATCATGCATTGGTTAATTTTGCCAAATTCACCATCATCAGAAAGAATCCCCAGAGAAAGGTTTGTACTTGAGAATGCCAGGTTCAAATTATTATGCACTTAAATCCGAATAGGTGTTCGTCCTCTAAACGTAAGGGTATGACCACGTGGTGTTTGTAAATGAACTGATTCATGTAACACCTAAGGTACAACTTACACTAAACATATTCCTTTAAAAATGCTCCCGCTTAATGCATTGAAATGTTGCGAATGCTTTCAAAGCTATTTTAACCACAAGCACAGGCACAGAAAACGGTAATATTAATGCTAACTACAAGATAGATATGCGCAAAGGATACTTACAAATAGAAGCGTCAAAACCTTTGCCGCATCCTTTAGAAATTGATGCTTAAAGCAGTCGATTTACAATTTTGACAATATCCTAAGTATTATATAACATATCATTGTATGGTATGGATTTACAACTTCTTTATTTTTACAACCCGACGTTTCTGGGCTACTTCTTGCCCCTTCCTCAGCTGAATACCCTCAGGGCGATAAGTGGCCCAGAAACGGCGTGTTGTAAATAATAAGAAGTTGTAAATCCATACCATACATTGTTATTTTACCTTCCAACTTCTAAATGTCCATCAACCATCTGATGAGTATATATTTGTTTCAGCAGTATTACTGTTGTACTGTAACAATGGCAACCTTTATAACAACGCTAGAAATAATCATAAGATAATTAGAAGTAAGAAATAATTAAATATTTGGCTAATATTAATGTCATGAATTCATCAACAGTTTGTGGGAAAATTGTTCGCCAGACACCATTGTGTTGAATGCGTTCATCAGAAAATATTCAGCTAAATGAAAAGGAAAGTTTAGTGTAGCTTATAGTGATTGTAGAAAGAATTTGGTGGAGTGGAAAGGAACCGTCTTATGACATTAATAGAAGAGATGTCAGGCATGATATAATAACAAGAGAATCGATCACTGTACGACTGTGTAAAATATACAGCTGAAATGATCCCAGCAGGTTAAAGACAAGGTCGTGTCCTCAGTCCAATTGTGTTTTCTAGTCTTCTGTTTTATAGTAGTGAGTGAGCTGGGTTTTAAGCGGCTTTTAGCAATACTCCAGCACGGTGGGGGACACCAGAAATGGGCTTCACAAATTGTAACCATGTGTGGAATCGAACCTGGGTTTTCAGCGTGAAGAGCGAGCACTTTAACCACTGGGCTACCACGCCGCTCCTCTTTTTACATTAATGAACATGTCGTGAAAGGAGAAAGACGAACAGAGTTAAAGCCTGAATACATAGAATAGTTCCCATTGCTTTTTCCACATGCTATTATACTTTTGTCAGATAATGTACTTGGAATTCAGAACATTTTGAGTACACTGAATTATTATCGTGACAAGTGGAAACTATCTATAAATCTTGATAAAGTCATAGTGTCGGTCATAATTTTTTTTATTTGAGATACACATTTATTACCCACGTGGTCAACGTATGGGTAGTTGCATACTAATCTCGTACGTCACACGAGTGTCGTATCGCGTTGACCTGTGTCGTAACGACTTGACCTGAGATTCTAACGATTTGATTGGATAACCGATGACCTCTCAATTAGGTCACGTTGTGACGAAGCTACTTTTTCATTCATAACAAACACGTGAATTCATTCATTCTACAACTTAAATGCATTGTGGGAATGTAAACATTGCGAATGTCGCCGTGTCGCTGTTTAATTGTCGAACTGAAAACATTATATCCGTCGAAAAACATAAACGCAATGTTTCTACCAGTGATGTTAGCCGAATGAAGCAACTGCAAACCAAGAAACGGGGTGCTACAGAATAGTTTACTGTAGGAGGCTGTACGAGGCGATGACAACTGACATGCATCGTGACGTCGGTTACCAAGGCAGTGACGTCATTACAGTGTGACGTCATGCAAACATTGTACTACAGTACAAAACTCTTCGGCAACCTCTGTATGAAACCGGTTTCGGTTTGAAACCATAAAAATATAAAAAATACTTTATTTTGTCAATTTAATGCATGTAAGACGTGGGTAATAAAGAAAATACCACACTCGGTCTCATTGGAGTATTCTCTATATATGTCCTGGCAAGACTGACAAGCAACGAGTACATGCTCCAGATAAGTAAACTATTCCACGTTAAATCGAACATTTTGTAATAAAGATATGAATGAAGATACATGTCATCGTTCAATGCCCATTATAAAACGAAATGATCTGTTCTAGTACATTCCTATTTCCAGTTTCGAATTATTCACCATGTATATGTGTCTTTGAATATATTACACAGATTTGAACTGATTTTCCTGCAGGAAGCATTAAATTAAGTCTAAACTGATGGTGCATCTGCCAATGCTTGACTCCTATTGATATATACCACGGTATGAGGGAAGGAATGCTTCATCTTGTACTTGTTCTTTTGCTATATTTCAGCCGCAGGTCGAAGCATGGCTCAACACCAGCAGCGATGACGTCATGCCGGTCACCCAGGCCCTGGCCATTTTGTTTCACTGGAGACTAGACCACGTGGGCATCATGCTGCCCAGCACTGTAGATTACACAGAGGAGGGTGTACAGAGACTCAAGGAGATTATTGAACAAGAGAAGTGTGTATTGTCTTTCTTAAATGTATATTATTGCGCTGTTAGATACAGTCTTGGAATAAATTATTTGCTTTGTACAGCCTTTGACCATTCTCATAAAAGTAGTTTCGAATAGGTAAACGGAGGCAATGATTGTTAAATCTTGGAATAGGAAATTACTAATCGCATAGAGTGTGTAACTGAGTGAGTATGATTTTGTGCCACTATTAGCAATATTCCAGCAATAGCATGCAGGGGGACAACAAAACTAATCGGAGAGACTTATAAAAATTACTAAAATACATTGTCCAAAAGGTGAAGACAGGAAGCTGGTAGGGGTAATGGAAGTGAAAAAGGATTTGATAATGCCAAGAGTGGCACTTAAAATGTTGCATGAAATATATTTTACGTGAGTACTTATTAAATATGAGGTTGGAAATATGAGAGCACAACCCTGTGAGGAAATGGGTGTCTCCCTTTGATGGTGGCAATATTTTATTTTGACATTAAAAATATTGTTCGAACCGATGCGAGGGAAGTACGTTGCCAACTTTGCTCGCTTCACTCGCATTAAGGAAGACTGGTAATTTTTCTCTCTGTTGCGCAACCCTATTTACGCTATATAGTATGCCTGTGAATTAACATATTTCCAACCTGATAAACAGGACTACAACTGCTGACCTCTCTGCCCAATTATGGGGAATGACTTGACCAAGGGAGGTGTATTTACATGTGACAATGGGTTTAGGATCACAACGATATCTTTGATGCCCTTCTGGATGGTTCGCTTGGTGGAGGAAGCTGCAGCCTCACCATACAATCTTTCGTCGCTCAGATCGGGTAACGCTTCCTGTCATTGCATTTCTTTTCAAATATAGTTGAAATGACACATTGTATCAATAGCGTAAATTATTCCATAAAACGAATTGTTCTTTCTGCAGAAGATTGTCTTTTCTTAATATTACCTAATGCCGTACTCGTCTTTTTAATAAATTAAAGAACACGAGGAATTGGATGTCCGATGCAATTCCCTATTTTGATTTATACCATACGTTCTCGAATTATTTCAGGTGAACAATTGACGAGACTTAGCATATGTTTATATATGTAGGGCAGGATACGCTCACATCTTCGCGAGCACCTTGTATCATCACTTTGACACAGTGTTTCATAAACACATGCTCTTTCATCGTATAGCATGGTGACAGCTGCAATACTGTTGAAACAAATATATACTCACGATAAAGTCACAATTGTACAATCGACTCTGCTTTTCGTAGAGATTTCTGATGGATGTGGAAAGGGGTTTGCCACTTCTATTGTTATGGATGACAGCTTTTTCATGATTTGCACTGGCGTTTCGGAGATAGCTCTTGCCTGTTAAGATGACCCCTGCCGTACTATTGCTTGAATATTGCTAAAAGGGGCATATTCACTATATATTCATTTGCCTGGAAAATTGGCAAGAAGTATCCTCGACACACCGTTGCAAAAAATGTACAAGTTGTTAACCAGGAACGTTCCATTTCTCCTTAATGCTGTAATGTTGAATCGAAACACCTTCATCCTGTGATCATTTCTTCAGAATTGTACACTTTACTACATACGTTTATTATTTGTACCAGAAGGAACTTTTATGTTATAGGTTTACTTGTTTCTCAGGGTGTAAGCCAAGAGGTTCGACGAAAAATAGCCGAGGAATATTCGGATTCCGTTGTATGTTGAATTATAATTCTCATGTGTTATATATAATATATAATACAAATATACAAATACCAATCTCCAGGAATGAAATAAATACAGATACATCATCTAAAGTTCGATCAAAGTCAAGATTCATGTGCAAACTCACGTTACTTATTATCAGTAGTAAATGCCATAAATGGATGTTATTGCTATTGTATGATGTTGAGGATGTGCTATTATGTGTAACGTTCTATCCAGGTTGCTTTTGGGGCAACTGAGTTTCTGACAGCGACGACTACATCCCCAGACATGACGACAAAGGAGCAGTTTATGACATCTGCGGGTTATGCTATGCCGCATGTCGAGGTACTACGATGCTTGTTACCAAACATCCCTGAGTACTCTGGCCAGCGGATATGTTGTTTTTTGTTCATTGATCAACACCGCCCTCAGCAATATTCCAGCTATATGGCGGCGGTATGTAAATAATCGAACATGAACCAGACATACAGTGATCAACATCATACGCATCGATCCAAGTCTGCGAGCCTGACCCCCCGATCCCGTTAGTCATCTCTTACGGTTGCTGATGACCAATCTAACGCTCGCTAATTGCTACTGACAATCGTTTTTTCCATACGATTTGGTCCAATTTGTTTTTAGGTTAAGGTGGTAAGTGATGATGGTGACATCCTCCCTATCAATACAACAGGAGAACTGTGCTTCCGAGGCTGGCCACTGTGTAACGGATATCATAGTAGTTCCGTAAATACCCAGAAGGTTGTTGACGCACGGAACTGGTTCCACTCGGGGTAATGCATTTGTATACCTTCTTTATAGTTCAGAAACATTAAGAACATTAATTACAATTAAACATGGTTATATCGAACTTACTGTTGTCTCGAAGGAAATGTTTGATCCCAGCGGGTGCTTTCTTTGTTCATTATTCATATGTTGTGTAGAACCTTGGATGACTCAGAGTATTTTCGTTGGTTTCTTTAACTTCAACACAACAGTGTTTGATAGAACGTCTTGGTATTCTGTGAAGAGAGAGCAGCGGTTAAGTTTATCGGTTTACCACGTACAAAAGCAGATCAACATATGAAATAAGTGCATGTTACTTTCTTGTTTTGCTCAGTGATCTTGGAAGGATGGATCCGACTGGTCACGTGGAAATACTTGGTCGTAAGTCAGACAGCATCAGGTTCAAAAAGAAGGGCGAAGTGGTCTATCCGGAAGTTGTAGAAGCTGCAGTGAGACAACATGAGAAAGTGCGAGACGTAAAGGTACATGTACAGAAGTGACGTGTCAGAGATAATTGGCAGTCCACATCGAGATCATTGCCAAGAATATCATTACTGGTTGTTAAAATGAATATGACAGGTAGTCGATATCAACACCACGATTTCCCGGGTTGAGATCATGGATGGTCTTCATGGAGATGTTATTCTACACCTTGATCAGTAATGATGAAATGATTGGGATAAATTAATGTGGGCCTAAATCGATATCATCTGAAAGACATCAGTCAATAAATAGCACCTGTTGTTTATCGAGAAGAACTTGTAATTATTCATCACGCCAATTTCTGAACGACACTTAAAGAAAATAGTGCATTTTTGTTCGATACTATAAGAAACATCTCTTGCAACGGAACATCAACTATGTACGAATAATAAAGTGGCAAAACTCTTTGGTTATTATGAATCATGCATCCACAGGCAAAAAGCTTCATAAACGTTTCGTCTTCCACTACAAAGATTGCAGATTAAGACAGAAAACTCCATCCCCGATGATATAGTTCGTTACATATCCATTTTGTTAAACACTTGGACCCAACTAAAATGGCATTACACAGCGAGGTACTATGTGCTAAATTAGAGTGGGAATGATGTGTGACATCACTTCTCACACAAAGCTAGTGACAGGTCCAGGGTTAAATATCATAATACAATGGAGATGTGATAGATTGGATAACATACACGAATGTCACTAGTGTGTATGCTTCCCAAAGATGTTCCATGTTCAGTTCACCCCGATGTCTTCCTCTTCTGACGTTCCAGGTCATAGGATTGAGCGGAGACAAATTTGGTACAACCATTGTTGCTTGCGTCATGTAAGTACTTTAACACACTTTAAAAGTTCCTTGTCTCCAACTTCAATAGGTTCGCGATAACAGTGCCCTGATTGTTGCGCGATGATGCCCCAACATGTGAAAATGACGCAAGGTGGCGCGAAAGTGCCGCAAAAGCTGCTCATCAGCGCCGTAAAAGCCAAGTGATAGAGACGCAACACTGGCGCAATAATTGCGGTAATGCCACAAAAGTTACTTAAGTAAATGTGTGGTATCGTTTTAAGTGAGTTTCAAATTCATTGTGGTGAACCGTATGTCACTATCAAGGAACAACGCGAGGAATAAGATGGCAGTGAGTGAGTAAAGTTAACATATCGCATTATTTCGCATTAAGCGAAGTCTGTACACAGACGCAAGTGGCTTAAAAGCAACTTTATCAGACAAGTTTTCACATACAAATATTGTTTACAACACGTATGGTAAGCCACAACCAAACAAAGATGGGAATTTTGGGGACTTCAGTACCTCAGCTTCCCGCTTCCTAGCAGACTGTACGTCTTCACTTTAGCTACTGGTGGTTGTACGCAATACAAGAGCTAGCCTATATTGCAAAATGCTCACAACGAGTTGGCTGAAAACCCTGGTTAACGATACCGCAATGATACATGTAAGAGGCTCTTCCTCATCCGTTTTATGCAGAGATTCGTAATAAAATCGGCACATTTGCACACACATCATCGTAAAATAGAGTTTGACCGGTTGTTGGTAAAAAGGCATGAAGTTTATTCAGTTTCATTCCAACCTGGGTTTTCCACCTGATGAAGGAGCAAGCATACGCTCCGAAAAGTCGTGTTATTCACAATAAAGAAGTTGATATCCATAAATCTTGCTTTCTAAGGAATGGTTGTTCGACACTCTTCAAGAAGACTGCTTTTCGTCGTTGATGAAAATTTAATTTATTATAACACCAGTCACTTATACATATCAAACATTTTAAGAACCTGTTTATCTGCGGCTAATTTAGGCTTGAAATCTGATTGAAGATGAAGTTCATAATATATTCGTGAACACTGCACTTCTGTTATAAATAAATACCTGAGCAATTGCAAAGGTACCACTTTGCATACCATACTGTACAAACCAAACTGAATGACCATTTTGATATTATTTACAATGTATGTTTGTATTATGTGTTCAGAACTGTGAATAGTTCTGTATAGTTGTATCATAACAAGTGACAGTATGCTGATTGTCTCTCTGTCTGTTTAATGTTTTGCATGTATGTATGTTTCAGATTACGCAGGCGTACTGTAGCCAGTAGCGAGGATATAAAGGCATTTTTGTCCACTAAGGTGGGTTGATCCTAAGTTATACCCCACTTCCGGTCTCGTTGCCATGGTAATCTTTGTTTAAAGCATACGTGTATTGACCGATACTCGTGCACGTGCATGTTTATCCCATCTATAATATGAATATGTTTTGCGGGTTTTCTGTCGAAGTGATCGGCATTTTTTACAGACCACACTGAACACATCATATTGGAATTCCGTAAGATACCAGAACGAAGTACGAAGAACGGACTCAATTGCATAAAGAATCCCAAACCACACATATGACAATTTACTCGCCATTAAACACAATGGAAATTGTTTTTTGCCACAGTCATACCCAAATGGATGAATTCAACTTTAAAGTAGACGTTAAGGGTTCATATACAGGTTTATCTGTCTGAAGTGTTTCGTATATACTTTCAATAAACAGAATCCGTGCAATTGTTCACATCGTCCGTAGTGTTTTCTATTTTTATGAAAATCACGTACAGACAGTGAGAGTGCGACTCTGCAGGGTAGGTAGACCAAAAGCATACTTTTTCAGTGACGGGTGCTACCGCTGGGGCGGCCCTGATTACCCTTTTCGCGAACACCTGGTGTCATCACTAATTCACGAAGTCATCCATTCATAAAGTTAGCTGGACACAACTCACTTTTGAAGTATTCACTTTCAGGTGCTCGAAAACGCCCGACCAGACCATGTTCTGTTCTTTGATGAGTTTCCAAAAGTTGGAGCACGAAAGAAGGTAAATATTTTATTTTGGATTATAACTTGGATTTAGAAAGCATGCCTTAACGATTGCGTCCAGAATACTTCAGATTGCATGTAATATTTAAGATCTGTGCTGTTGTGATTAGGGATATGTCCCAAACGGAATACCTAGGTCGTCCTATATATCCATCTGATCCCGACCATATGTAGTGTATGGTTATCACTTGAGGAATGTTATCATTCATTTATTATCTTGTTCAAAGCAACACCGAACGTGATGATGAGTCACCTGACTTACATGCTTCACATTACAACAGATAGAGAGATTCCTATAACAGCATAAAAAGAGAAATAAATGTTTCAGAAATTGATAAATAATGAGTGAGTGAGTTGAGGTTTACGCCGCACTTAGCAGTATTCCAGCTATATGGTGGCGGTCTGTAAATAATCGAGCCTGGAGCAGACATTCCAATGATCAACAGCATGCACATCGATCTACGCAATTGGGATACGATGACATGTGTCAACCAAGTCAGCGAGCCTGACCACCCGATCCCGTTAGTCGCCTCTTACGACAAGCATGGGTTGCTGAAGGCCAATTCTAACCCGGATCTTTACTGGTCCGATCGATGATAGATGTATATGTAGATGCATTTCAAGATTCGAATGAATATACATAGAATAAGAACAGGTATTCGAACCACTAGGTACTTACCACTAACGACGGTATTATATTGCCACACGTTGGGCTATTTTGGTGAGAAGCATAACAGTTTGGCTTCAGCAGTTAATTGCCAAATGTTTATATTTCTTAGATGTAACTGCTGCTTGTTTCTCCGCCTTATGTTTATAATTCCTAGATGTAACTGTTGCTTGTTTCTCTGCCTTATGTTTATAATTCCTAGATATAACTGTTGCTTGTTTCTCTGCCTTATGTTTATAATTCCTAGATGTAACTGTTGCTTGTTTCTCCGCCTCATGTTTATAATTCCTAGATATAACTGTTGCTTGTTTCTCTGCCTTATGTTTATAATTCCTAGATGTAACTGTGGCTTGTTTCTCTGCCTTATGTTTATAATTCCTAGATATAACTGTTGCTTGTTTCTCTGCCTTATGTTTATAATTCCTAGATATAACTGTGGCTTGTTTCTGTTGCTGTTTCTCTGCCTTATGTTTATAATTCCTAGATGTAACTATTGCTTGTTTCTCCGTCTTATGTTTATAATTCCTAGATATAACTGTTGCTTGTTTCTCTGCCTTATGTTTATAATTCCTAGATGTAACTGTTGCTTGTTTCTCCGCCTTATGTTTATAATTCCTAGATGTAACTGTGGCTTGTTTCTCTGCCTTATGTTTATAATTCCTAGATGTAACTGTTGCTTGTTTCTCTGCCTTATGTTTATAATTCCTAGATGTAACTGTGGCTTGTTTCTCTGCCTTATGTTTATAATTCCTAGATGTAACTGTGGCTTGTTTCTCTGCCTTATGTTTATAATTCCTAGATGTAACTATTGCTTGTTTCTCTGCCTTATGTTTATAATTCCTAGATGTAACTGTGGCTTGTTTCTCTGCCTTATGTTTATAATTCCTAGATGTAACTGTTGCTTGTTTCTCCGCCTCATGTTTATAATTCCTAGATGTAACTGTGGCTTGTTTCTCTGCCTGATGACTTGTTTCTCTGCCTTATGTTTATAATTCCTAGATGTAACTGTGGCTTGTTTCTCTGCCTTATGTTTATAATTCCTAGATGTAACTGTGGCTTGTTTCTCTGCCTTATGTTTATAATTCCTAGATGTAACTGTGGCTTGTTTCTCTGCCTTATGTTTATAATTCCTAGATGTAACTGTGGCTTGTTTCTCTGCCTTATGTTTATAATTCCTAGATGTAACTGTGGCTTGTTTCTCTGCCTTATGTTTAGATGTAACTGTGTTTCTCTGCTTGTTTTCTTATGTTTATAATAGATGTAACTGTGGCTTGTTTCTCTGCCTTATGTTTATAATTCCTAGATGTAACTGTGGCTTGTTTCTCTGCCTTATGTTTATAATTCCTAGATGTAACTGTGGCTTGTTTCTCTGCCTTATGTTTATAATTCCTAGATGTAACTGTGGCTTGTTTCTCTGCCTTATGTTTATAATTCCTAGATGTAACTGTGGCTTGTTTGTAACTGTGGCTTGTTTCTCTGCCTTATGTTTATAATTCCTAGATGTAACTGTGGCTTGTTTCTCTGCCTTATGTTTATAATTCCTAGATGTAACTGTGGCTTGTTTCTCCGCCTTATGTTTATAATTCCTAGATGAAACTGTTGCTTGTTTCTCTGCCTTATGTTTATGTTTCCTAGATGTAACTGTTGCTTGTTTCTCTGCCTTATGTTTATAATTCCTAGATGTAACTGTGGCTATTTCTCTGCCTTATGTTTATAATTCCTACGGCTTGTTTTCTGCCTTATATTTATTTTTTCTAAATGTAACTGTCGCGTGTTTGGTCCACAGGTGTCCCGATCTCAGCTGACCGAACTTGTCAAGATGAGGATCGTTCCTGAGATATGAACGCATGCAAATAGTGTACCATATTGTGACATTGCTACTTTTCCTATTCACAGATGACAGAAACTGTCTAGATGAGGCTAATTTCTGATGTATGAACGCATGCGCCAACTGTACCCTATTATAACATTGCTATTCTAATTTTTGTGTAAGAATATGTATGTAAGCGCATACACCAAGTGGGCAACACCGTTGTTTTGTTGGAACATCACGGCAGTCATACATTTTGTTGTTGTTTTTCATTTGATGTTTGTATTTGTTAGTTTTCAGAAATTCAGTGGTAAATCATCACAAGTATTTACATTAAAATCTGTATTCAAACTAAATATTTGCCTAGTCAGTTGTGACCATAGTTGTTATATCATAGCATATGTCTCCTCGTTAAGAGATATATTCAATGATATATATATATATATATATAAACTACGTTTTTAACGAATTCCAAGGGACCACTTAGTTTAGTTCGCTATAACCGCAGGTCATTACATGCATTTCGACAAAAATATCCTCCATGTTGCCGAGTAAAAACATAAATTTATTATACCCATCAGTTCGCTATAAGCGTGTTCGTCATAAACACACTCTACTGTACTAAGCAAACAAATGAAATTAAATGAACATCCGATTCTTTGATTTTGCCAGTAAATCTCTCATGTCAAGACAGACATGGAAGGTGGGGTAGCACTTGCTGTCACGCCGAAGGTCCAGACTCGATTCCCTCACGTGAATTCAATATGTGAAGCATATTTCTGGTGTGCTCCATCGTGACATTGATGGAAAAAGGAGGCGTAAACCATACTCACTAAGTGTTCGTTTACTTATTTTGAGTTGCCTGTATGAAATGCATCACATCCATACGAATGACAGTTCTATCATGCAATCTAGTTTCGAATGTATGCACCGAAGGTATCTTTTCAAATAACAAAGTCATGACACGCTGTCCGTTTAATCTTCGTGTTAGTGTCATCCGACCTTACACAGACAGACAACTGATATTGTTGGCACATATACTTGCACCGTGTGTCTCGAACATGCAGCACTTCTGATTATTATCACTGATACCAACAATGCTCATATCTGGCGTGATGTCGTGAGTTTACCATGTACTTTGGATGGTGCACATATGCGATAAGTTTGTTGTGAAGAGGTTTGTCTATCGTTGTAACTGTGGGCACAAACTGATGTCACAGCCAGTATATTCTGTATGAGCGAACACGCGATATCTGCACATACGAGATAACATTTTATGGAATAGGTGATTTATATGCACTACCTTCAATGATGTCTACATGAGCTGATTTGTATCCGCTACCTTCACAGATTATACAGGTGCTGATGTATATGCAATACCTTAATTGTAAACCAAAAGTCACCTTGTTCTTTAATCTGATTGGTTGCAAAACGTGATCGAATGGTATTCGATTCCCGGAAATTGCAAGACTATTCACTGCGTATTGACACGTACACAATTGTATTCTTGCGTCATCAGCAGTGTTGACGTAATTCAAATCATATTGTGACGTAAAGTCGGAATAACGTCACAAATGAGCAGTTCCAGATGCTACCATGAGAAACAAATAAAATGAATAGGAAGGCCTTTACAAACTCGTAAAAGTACACAGTATGTCGTCAGTGCAAGTCATCAGTCCTTTTGTTGACACCGTGACGTAATCTTTCTTTATCTATGACCTTAACTTGTACCGGCGCAGCAAGGTACTTGGTTGTGGGGGCTGTGAGTGTGACTCAGCAATATCCAAATAAGTACGTAACTAGAGTAGACTAAATATCTTACATACGACCTTGGATCATATAGTCCCCTCGAGGTTTAGAAACAAACACACCTGGCTAGAAACGTTCGTAGCCCTACGAACTTCTTAAGCCCATTCCTAACACATTGGCTACGATCAAAGTTAAGAATTGTTAGGGCTACGAAGAGGTTAGGTTTCGAGAATAAAGACTCTGTTTATCAACATCCATCAGCAAGGGGGCGTAATTAGAATATACTACGACCTTGTTGGTTGGTGTCTGGTACACTTATCTATATATATCCTGTCACTAATGAAACATGCATTGATCATATAGGTCTCTGCATGTGTTTCTCCATGCATGTTAATTGACCTATCCGACACTGAAAGTGGAACAAGCACACATGCAATATGTACCGTAGTAACAGGTAATCTCAGGTGATGATTCTGACACAGCCAGCAAATGACGACAGTCCTGTCCTATGTTACAATTGGTGAATTACAAAGTCGCCATGCCGGACTTAGCTTGTGTAAAGATTTAAGTATATTTGCCCAAGATTGCCTATCCTCACATATTGCTGCAGATGCTATGTAGACGCATATGTTTCTGTATCACTGAACATAATTCGCTGTATCTTGGGAATATGTTTAGATATAAGACGTATGCAGAATCCTAGAGGATTCTCTGACCGATGAACTTGAAAAACGAATTCTTATTGCTTTGCAGTAGTTACTTCCGGCAGGGGTGTTTTCTTGTAGGTTACAGAGAGGGGCGAATGGTAACGAAGGGTCACTAATGCCGCAGCAAAATGGTTCACGTTGTATTTTGCATTTTAAAACGGTGGCCACACTCCACATCTGTTCCTTTGTATAATTTAAATTAATTATTAAGACGATATTTGAACTATGTTTTATACACATTTTCCATTCGGGTGTATTGATGGCGACAATATCAAATTCATATCGACAGTACACCTGCCATTTTTGTGGTAAGAGAGCTGACTTGGTGACCGTGTGTTCGTATCCCAGTTGCTCATGATGTTGATCACTGGATTGTCTGGTGGAGACTCCATTATTTACAGACCGCGGTCATACAGCTGGAATAAGCAACAGACCAGTAAACCAATGCTCCAATATTTCATCAATGATGCAACTGGAATCGTTTTTCCACTGTAAATGTGGAATCCGGAGAGACGGCTACACAACATGTGATCACGTTTTTACTCAAACACATATTTATGAAAGACAGTTTAACTGCTTGGGCAAAGTACATTTGGTAACTAATACATTCACAGTATCAAAGGATAGGAGGTAAGCAATAAAGTCTCAATCATACACAAAATTGGACACGTGTTTATCGGCGTTTGAGATATTTCAATCTGTGTAGCGTGTAGAGGAGTGAATTTTACGTCACATCGGCAAGAACACATCCATACCATATCTCTACACACTGAATCTGTGTAGAGAGATACTGGCCCGATTGCCACCATGTTGTGACGTACCCTTCGACTAGTGTTTGGAGGTCCCTGTCTTTTGTTTCATGATTGTGATCTTCGTGATGAGGTTCAGTGTAGCGGCCAAAGAATTTCGTAGTCGAGGATTCGAACCGCAGCCCTTGAACGGTTTGTTTACATGGGCCAAAGAGGTTAAACCCTTTGAACAAGCAGGCAAGGCAAGGATTATACCTATGGGTTGACTCCACGCCCAGCTACACAATCCTCCGTATCCTCTTCCCAAGAAGACCCGTGAAGATCCGGGTTAGAATTGTTCTTCAGTAACCCATGCTTGTCGTAAGAGGCGACAAATGGGATCGGTTGGTCAGGCCCGCTGACTTGGTTGACACATGTCATCGTATCCCAATTAAGCAGATCGATGCTCACGATGTTGATCACTAGATTGTATGGTCCAGACTCGATTATTTACAGACCGCCGCCATATAGCTGGAATCTTGCTGAGTGCGGCGTAAAACTAAACTCACTCACTCATCCAAAGAAAGTATTACTCGTTGAAACGAGAATAGAAAACATATACATTGAATCATTCAAGGTGCACGACATAGGTAGCATTTCACCTGTTGCCCATTGATATGAGAATGACTGTTCATGTGGCTTTGAGCCAATATGCAGTTTGATTGAATTCATGATGGCAGCTTGCGAATTGAAATGCTGCGTCTTATGGCTTCTTTACCTAAACAAATGTGACAAATAACATTATGTAGCATTGCCGTCTGCACATTAATTTATATCTTCACTTTTGAAAACCCCGAAAGTCAGATCGCAAATTCTCACTGTACAACATTTACAATGTCGACATTCCCAAATTTACAGTCTAAACTGAAAAATGGTGACAGATTTTTCAAATGATTGTATTCAATCAACATCATAAATGACAACTTAGACATTTTCCATTGCAACAAGTCATAATTGTTATACTTTATATTAAGAAATACATTTATCGTGACAACAATACTATATGGTAGAGATTAATGAACACCGTGTACATAATTGGTTACACAATATACAATACATGCACACATACGTCTTACTTACGAGTGTGTGAGTGGGTTTTACGCTGCTTTTAACAATATCTGCGCAACGTCACGGTAACAGTAACAATAAATAGTTATGTTAGAGGAACCAGCGTCATTCGTATCTTCAACATGTTCCATTAAAGAGGACACGCACGTAGCTGTCTGTTCATGATTACAAATTGTCCAGTCCACAGCTTCTTAGCTGTCTGAAGCGTGCCCCACGTCACGTGACGTCAGCGTCAGCATTTAGCGATTGGTCATAGGAATATATGGTGCATAACAAGTTACAATTTCAGGGGTTCTGTAACAGGTATTATATTACAAATCATACAGGTAACAAACTGATAGTAACAAGTAATTCAAAGTGAGAACAAAAGGAAAGAAAACGGTCATGTTCCAATACACATACAGTGTATAATTCACACGTGTTGTAACCTCAGGACGTAACTGACCAATCACTGGGTCCAAGTGAGTGAGTGTGGGAGTTAAAATTTAACGTCACATCGGCAATATTTCAGCCATATCGTGACGAGAACAATTAATTTTATGCATAGTAAGTAATGGTAAACTATAAAAACCTGTCAACGAAGGGCAGTAAAATAACTAGATTATCACAGATTCGAATTTAAAACTAGTAATTAGATCTAAAACAGTCTGGGTCCAAGTTGATAGTCTATATGAAAACGTTTATGTACACGATGATGCGTTGCGCATATCCTCCAACTGTCGAGTAATATTTGCCACAAGATCTTGGCCCAGTGTGCTGAGGCTTGCCTAAGAGTCCGGTTGTATGGTACATATACATACTCGTTACCATTCCATGGGGTCCTAAACAAGAATTTTATCAGTTGTACAAGTAACACACTGTCTAAGTGAGAACCAAAACAATGAAAAACGGTTTTATACATCATGCATGTTCCAATACCGACATAAAGTATAATCCAGGCACATTGTAACTTTAAGACGTAAATGGCCAATCACTGGGTCCATGTTGACAGACTATATGAAAACGTTTATGTACACGATGATGCGTTGCGCATATCCTCCAACT